GTATGGTAAAGTAAACAATAACATAGTTGCAACGAGATGGAAATTTTTCAGCTAATGGTGTTTGTCATTCCTTTTTTCATAGCTCAGAGTAGCAAAGAGGCTTTTTTAAGCTTTCCGTAGAGACACTGTTTAGAAAAACAAGCTGCAAGCCAAGGCTAGAACTGGTGCTTAAAGTGTAAATAAATATATATGTTTTTAAATGATTCTATATTATTTACAGAACAGCTATAACTTTTATTGGTTGAAACAATGCAACAGAACCTTTGGTATTTGTAGTAAAGTAAAACTGTATGCAATATTACCTGAAAGGATCATCGAAAACTGAGGAAAAATATTTCTTAATATTTAATATTTCTTACCACTAGATGGAGTCTTGAGTGACTTTAAATAATCTAATTTATTTCATTCTTTGACCTGTTTGTACCTGTTTTATGCATGATCCCACAATGTTAAAATAAAAATTTAAAAAAAGGATTTGTAAGTAGCATATATTTTAAGAATAGCTAGGCATGAACTATAGAGCATGAAGAACAGAATGGAATAAGGAAAAGAAGACATCAACATCAATGATTCTAGCAAAGTCAAACTGAGATCTCAGATTCCTCTCATGTGCACACAGTGAGGTTAAGTAGGTTTTCCTCTGGATGTAAAAATGTACAGATAAAGTTGTGAAGTGTTGCAGTAGGTGTAAAGCATATGCAGTACTTGTGTCCTCTCCACATGTTGGCTTTGTTTGCCTTGAGTCAAATTGTTCAAGCGCTGCTTTATAATCTCACAGCAAAAATTCAAGCTGTTTATTTGTGTGGAGCTAAAACATTCCATTAAATAACCCCTGCAGGTGCTTTATCCCTAAAAGGGATTTGTTTTCTAAAATAAACAAAGTGGAAAAGACTGCCAAGGAAATACATTTAGCATGACGTAAACCAACTCCTACAAAGTCAGACTGGCCTAAGTTCCTTTCCTTCTTCAAAGAACTTTGCTGTCCTATGTTAGTACTGACCAATTTGAAAAATGACACACATGTTTTATGTGCACTTATACAGTCTTTAGAATGAGCTGGTTACAGGTAACTCACATGCAGACATGCAGACATTGTAGAATGTGATTCTTTCGTTCAGAATTGCCAGCAGAAGGTACTTTGAAAATGTTGGATACTCTCTTTTTCGAGACAGAAACATATGATTGCTTGTTAGCCTAGTTTCACCTTGACCTGTGGGAGGTCAGAACTGAACCAGGGTCAAAAATACAGAGAAAATAGAAGCCTTGACACTTTTATCACTTGTTATTTCTTTTCATCTGGCAGTAAGAACAACTCATCTGCAGATGGGATTTGCTTACTGCAGCCCCCTCAGCCAATCTCACACAAAGAGTGTGTCACAGCGATGACATTATCAAAGCTCCTCTCTGTCCGAGGCACACCTCAGTTTGTACCTCTGTCAATACAGCACCACGAGACATGTCTGTTTGATGCTGATAGAAAAATAGATTGAAACTTGCCAAACACCTTTTCCTCCAAAAGGATATTTTAAGTAGCAGGAGATGACAAATCTGAGATAACATTATCTGCACAATTGACTGGAGATAATAAACATCTGAGGAAGACGTTGTGTAGCTCTATTGTGGGACAATGTTTAGGCCCAGGCTCCAGAGGCAGGCCCAGTGCCAGGTGCATTGTGCTCACTGATAGGACAACAGGAGCAGAGCATCAGATAGGGCCTGAGAGGTGAGCCTGCATGTTTACGCGCCTTTCACACATCCTGCCATTCAATCAAAAGGAAAGACATGCCATTGGTAGTTGTTTCAGCACCGCTCTTCGTTATGACATCTTTGTCGGAGATGATCATTTTTCATTTTCACAGTAGCTTGCATCTATTCTGCCTGTCAGTGTTTTTAACCACAGCAGCTCACAGACTAGATTACGGTACTTACAGTGCATGAAAAACACTGCCACAAGATGGCGAGTGACAGAACCGTTTAACTTTGCTCAGAGAAATCTCCCCCATGTGGCACTTGTGCTACACCCGCTTGTTTATTATGTTGGGAGCTAAGCATAAGCGATTAAAGGAGCTCTTAAGAATCAAAGTGTTATAAATGCATGGAAACACAGCCGCCTGTAAATGCCACAGAATTAGAAGCTTACCCAGCCTAATACTAACTCATGGCAATTTTCAGCTTGATGCTGATATAAAGAAATTACTTTTTTAAAGTAAGCAATAAATGCAGTCAAGGGAACTATTACAGAGCCCCTATTTTCATTCCCAGCATAAATCGGCAGAGAACTCTCCAGCTCATGAATTCACTTGTTTATTCCTAACACTTCCATAAAATGTGGATTAAACAAAGCAAACCTCTGCTGCTCAGACCAGGCAACACATATGCTCATTTTAAAAAATGAAAAAATACACAAGAAAGGGAGTACTGCCTGTTAACATGGCCTCATGCAATTTAAATGAAGTCCAATGGATAATTACATTTAAAGCCTTTAAATCATTTCAAATATTTTGGACCAATGACAGTGCCTGGTGCTCGCCTTGATATTGGTGGTTTTAATAATTGTTTGAAACAATTACAACAGTATATATTATTATTATATTATATATTATGGTCCAGTCTAAACCCAAAAGACAGTGTCAAAAATAAATAAATACATGAAGAAATCAAGAAACTTTAGTGGCAATTTGACTGAAGCCTTTTGCAGCAGTCTGGGCCTCAGACGGGATGAGACTTGACTTGACAAGATAATCTCACAACAAACACCTATCAACAACTATTCTATTTGTGTCTCTTTTTTACACAATATGGCCACGATTTCAGGTGTGGCTTCACTAAATAAATAGCTGATTTCACACACACATACACTTTTCAGTCTAATGCGTTTTAAAAGAGCTTTAAACACCAAGACATGTTAATCCCATAAGCTGCCGCGGGGATTTTACTGATGCAATCAAAATCACATTGGAAAGTCGTGGCCAATAATTAGCCTGATTTTTACCACATTAACATTAATTACATAAGTATCTGAAATATTTCAAGGCTGATCTCACATCTGGTGTCTTGGATGTGTGAAGAATGCACTACTAACATGTAAATGATGAATGTATGCATTCAAAATAAAAGCAGACTTCCTGCAATAACGTAATAATAAAGGTTTGCTGCAGAAGTTTAGCCCTGACAATTATTGAATTTACGTTCCCTCTGCTGTCATCACGAAAACTAGTTCAGACCTCCAGTTATTAAAAGTAAAAAGTATTTGCAGGTAGAACAATTATCTGCCGTACATGTCACATTAAAATGATGCAGACATTTTAAATAAGAGAATTAGGTAATATCTGTAAGGGCAGAAATGAAAGTTGTAATCAGATTTTCAAGTTTTGAGGCTATATTTGTATCACATAAGCTTCCCCAGAGTGCAGTTACATCACCATAGCAGTATCAATAGGACACATGGGTAGGGATGCACCGATACAGTTCTGGTATCGGATATTGAACAGTTTGGTGGATCAGATATCGGATATTGGTTCAGTCAGTATACCATTTTGGGCTATAAATCTGTGTAATAAGATGATTTATTGGCCAATGTTGATCCAAAACATCTCATAATATATGTATTTTTACCATAAGCTGGTTATGTTTAAAGGAAATAAATTATATTTTCAGTATCTGCCTTAGTATCAGTTGACATCTGTATCAGAATAGAAAAAGATGGATCAGTGCTTCCCTACACATAAGGTTATAACAATGGCATTATTTTATTCACAACTGACAGTAACCAATGAAACCATTATCAATGTGCATGTTAAAAAAGAGTCCCTCACACAGAGGTTAAAGGTCCAGTATTACGCAAAATTGACTCTTGTAAGCATCTTAGAATGTTGTTACCTCTTCAAAAACATAACTGGAGCTGTTTTGTTTCATTCATCCATGTTACAGTAACCTGTTATTATTAGTCTGTCTAGATCTCCAAAGCTCTAAATGCTCTGTTGGAATTTGTGATGTAAGAGTGTGAGAGAAGAACTTAGTCTAAATATGTAGGGTTTGTGTGTTAAACATGTGTGAATGAAACAAAACACAACTCCAGCTATGTTTTGATGAGGAAACAACATTATAACAGATCAGAAAACAGCATAATACAGGCCCTTTAACAGTGGACAGGAAGCTTCATGGTTGAGGTGTCAGAGATAACAGCTGTATTTAGTAAACTCTAAATTACCTTCTGTGGATAACAATTAAATATGAACAAGACAAATACACTGAATGGTGAGCTTATTAAGGCTAATTCACCTTCAATTAAGTTTATAAAAAAATGTATAAATAAGTTAAGTAGTGTAATTATATATCATATAAGTGAAATTCAGAAAGTGTAATGGATTTCAATTGGAATTCACTGATAATGTGAACAGGGTAAGAGGACAATTTGTGTACAAAAACAGAATTGCAAATAATCTAAAAAAGAAAATGTATGAAATAAAACTCACAACTTGAAAATAAAAATATATATTTCTAGTAATAACCTGATTTAATGTTTAAGATTGCACTTCCTCATTAGGCTACAAGATCATTCGCAACTGAATAAAAATTGTAATTGCAATTAGCAAATCCAAAGGCTGCAATTACTAAAGTATAATTTCCTCCACAAACAACAAAGACATGTCTTATTCTGTATAAAAACTTCTAACCCTGCAGTTTAGATATGTAACATGTTTTGAAATGTCATTCTTGGATTAGTTTGTCTTTTTGTCAATTTTTATGGACATATTTAAAATGTGAACTTTGAACAAAACCTGATTATTAAATTAAAAATATAAACATAAATGTAATTGCAATACTTGTCAGAAAAAATCCCATTTACATATTTTTACCAAGTTGCTAAGCTCTACTTCCTTGCTGAAACTTGTGCACTTGTTGACACAAAGTGCATTCAGTTAATAACTAAGCTCATTCACCACAGCACTGACACACACAGCCACTCGTGTCTACTGAACCATCTGAACCATCTTTACCTTCTACAAGAACGTGCTCATTTACAGCCTTCTTCAGCTCCAGACACACAGCAACTTCCTCCACTCCCTCCCTGCAGACACAAGAAGAAACAAAAGTATTGCTAATGAAAAGCTTGTAAATAAGTCAAGTTGTAAGTTTGATTCTAAATAATATACATAGTTTATGAAAAGCTTGTGTCAGTTAAATTCCCACCTTGCATACACAGTTGCATGTAGCGTTCAGTATCTGCTGTAGTGTGCTATTGTCACTACAACTACTCCCACTGATAACAGCCAGCAACGGGTCTGGTAAATGCGTGGAAGCTTATTTGCAATACAAAAACTTTTCAGATTCCATAGAGTAAATGTCCATGTTAGTGCCCCCTAGTGGTAAGCAAACAGCCTTTGCTTCTAAAATAGGGAGTAAATGCATAATGCAGTTTCAGTTGTTTCATGTATTTGTAAATATAACAATTAATTTGTCCCCTGATAGAAACTTAGTTAGGCACACAAAGGAATTCATCAGACCCCAACCAAAAATTATTTAAAATAATAATAGTAATAATGAGAAATACTCAATCAGGAAACATGAATGAAGCCTTTTGAGTAGGTAATTTGTTTATGAATTAAATGCAGTTAACTAACAAAAGTGACCCCTCATTAGAAGACACAGGAGGTTTCTTTTTTTTTTATGGACGGCCACATGATGGTAGACAAAGGTCTGTGTGTACCAAAAGTCATGCAGTCAAAGGGTTCAATTGTGGTGCCATTTCAAAGCTCAAATAAATACTCAAAACCAATTGGCTCCAAATACACTTTCATGTCACATTGGATACTTTTGATAAATTGACGTTTATCTTAACATCTATTGTTCTGTCTTAGTGTAATTAACAAAGAGCAAAGTCATATTTTACTAATGGCCTTCATTTGAACATAAATCTCACATAATTCAGTTTAGTTTACAGTGATGATACAATCTTTCAACAGACCTTTTTTCAGCATGTTCAGATCCATCCATTATGAAAACACAACCAAACTGGACTTCGACTTCTCTTGGTGCTCCCTCATCGACATGCATTTATGTCTCCAAACTGGAAACTCAAAGCGGCCACACAAAGACAAGAAACAGGCAAGAAACCAAACCATATTTTTATGGTAAACTGGGAAGTGACTGAGGGACAATATCTGAGGGGCATTTGAATAAAGGCATTAAAGCATATCCAAATATGAGAGCATAAAAAAAAGTATTTTTTTCACCATTCTTATTTGGCAGTCAAATCTGTGACCAGCCGTATGTGTGGTTTATCTAGAGCAGCTCAGATAGAAAGTCTGTGTTTTCAGGACATTAATTATGTGCTAAATGCTCTTGTTGAAAATGCAAGTCAACACACAGCTCACCCTAAACTCTACCCAGAGTCGAACAATTGTCTAAAATGGTCCGTTCCCACACACAACCAGCCTATTAGTGTGATTCATTACTCTTCAATTAACGAGTCATCAATGCAATCGTAAATCAATGGTGAGTGCTGACATTTGACAGATATTTTCAGTTTCAAACTACTAAACATCATTAATTCCCATCACCTGAAAGAGCCCCGGGAGCTAAATGAGTTTACCCAATGCATAACATCCATTTAGATAAATGTTCCATCATTTTAATGACTGAAAATTTGTATAGACAAAAAAAAAGGCGACAACAGGATTGAGATAGCAGCTGTGTGCCTTTTCTCCGTGTATTATAAAGCCCATCTCGTAATACCTAAACAGATAATTGTCTCCATTTCAAACAGCACCGAGGCTGTAATGTTGCCATTTAGAGCAGTGGGGGGCTCCGAACGCGAGGTGAGGATAAACAAGCGCACGCTGCTTCGCCCAGGTGGGGGAGCCGAGCCCATCACACACTCCCACGTGGAGATTTTAGGGAAGAGAACATCTCCCGGTTGTGATAATTACCCACCTAGGAGGGTTATGTGCATGCTCAGTGAGAGGCCCAAACTGAGAATATGAATCAAAATGCAACAATTTCCACAGGTAGAATCTCACATGATTCTCTTAAAATGGAGAGGAGAAGGTGCACAGTTTATAAAATGTGTTCAGATTTTGTGTAAAGTTAGGAGCAAAAAAATTACTAAAAGTAAAAAATAGTATTGTACCTTCAAAACGAACATTGCTTACATTGCAGCCAACTGACACAAAAAGATAAATGTTATCCAAAGTTTAAATTTCAACAAAACACGCAAAAACAAACCAATATATAAACCAACTGGCACAAGGGAATAGTTTTTTGGAGTGCCTGGATTTCGTTGTGTCCAAAGGCACAAGGGAATATTTGACAAGCTCAGAAACTCTATATTTATTACAACAAGCACAATATTTAATACAAAGGAAACGCTCTGCAGAATAACATGAGCTACGTGTCATTTTACACCCTCAAATGTGTGTGCCTTTGTACATGAGATAACATGACAGTTAGGCGGCCACCTCCAAATCAGATGATACAAATAAATGTTTCCATTCTCTATGCAAATACTAAAGGCTTCATTGTAAATGCAGGGTAATAAACACATGCAAACAGGCTGTTTTCAGGGGGAAATGGACAATCACAAGGGTTTTTCACTATGGTAATCACCTTCTAAGCGTCGACAAAGACTCATTTCATTCCATCCACAGAGCTGTGAAGTGGACTTCCTATTTTGGAGGAGGGCACGGCTTCACAATGCGCTCTCTGCCTGGTCCCAGCTATGTTATCAGCGGCTTTGGCTTTGTTGGAAGATTGCACCTTCCAAATATGAATTAATACCCCTCCAATGAAATGCACCCAATCGCAACAAAAGGCGACACTGAGCGCCGAGCGGCTCTTCAGCTCCTCTAATGGACAGGCTCTTGTGTCTCTTCATTCTGCACAGCACAAAAAGACCCAAGCCCCATGAATATTTACCACTAAGTAAAGTTATTCCATTAATTACTCCAAGCACGCTTAATACTGTACCTACAGCTACTCCTAAGCCAGTCTGCTAATGAACCCTCACACAGCATTACCATTTTAATTAATGCTCGACTCAATGTCTGTCAATAGCAAGCTGCCACACTTATCCATCCCAATGCTCTGATCACTTTGTTTAGGAGTAAATATGGCTTACCAGGTAATATGCATGTTAAGTGATCCATTTACAGGGACTATTAAAATATTCATAAATGTGAGTTTGTTTACAATATAAGCGTGCTGTAAGTAGATTTAACTAGCTTAGAGCAATGAAATATGTATTAACAAATAAATGATACAATTTGCAACTCTCAGATAGGAATTAGCAAACATTAATCTCTTATTTATAAATAGCCTATTAAGCTGTGTGTGGTATTTTAATACTTTTACAATTAAACCTAATTTGTTTAACTGTTTTTACATTTTGTGAGGCTGTCTGGCGCAAATATGGAGTAGACTGCAAAGACACAAGAACAATATCTGAATTTAATCATTTTTCTGGGGTTAACACTTTCCATGTCATTATTCTAATATACAGCCACAAACCCTTTGTCAAAAGTAAGAATGGGCGATATGCCAAAAATGTATGTTATGATTTTCTTGGAGACATATTACAATTTAAAACTGTTCATGATTCATGCACATTAGTGTTTTTATATTGCAATGAAGATGTAAAAAAATCATCTTCTTTTGAGAGTCCAAACTTCACTGTAATCCACCTGTCACTCGCAGCACGGCTGACCAATAGCTGACTAACAGTCAGCATGGAAAAGTACACACAAAAAAATCTCCTAAAAAGAACCATGGACACTTCTCAATACTAATGAAAATGTTTTGTGTGTTTTTTCTTGAGTTTTCAGATGATTTTGAAACATTTTTTGTCAGTGTTTGCTAATGTGTGCATTGTATCACCAAGGTAACTCCTACATGTAAGTGTAATGGTGGAATATTCAGAATACTCCCAGCATGATGCCACTGCTGAGTATCAATAGTAACGTCTAGTGACTGAAAACCACATTTCTGTGACAACTGACAAAGTTTTAACATCTTTAACCCTGACCTTAACTTTTGATCTAAACAGTAAAAAATCTATTCCATTCCAAGTTCTTGGTAAAAAAAAAAAAAAAAGTGCAAACAGTAAGTGCAAACAGTAAACATTTTATATTTGATATACTGATATATACTGATACTTTAGTTAGTTTTATGAGTTAAATTATGTGGAAGTAATGATATATAATAATGGCATTATCTTGCTGGCATGAAATAATACAGAAAATTGGACTAATGGCATGCTCTGTGTGTCTGCTTTGGGAGCATTGTGTAAACAGGGAGCGGATGGGAGTTTTAGTGGGCTTTGCTTGTGTTGAGTCAGTCATATCAGCTGCCAGGGTCACTGCTGTTTGCTTTAAGGGCGTGTAGAGCAGCAGGCGCTATCTGTGCTCTAAAACACATGGAAAAAAAACTTTAACATGAGTCACTTCTTACCAAATGCTTTCTGTATGATCCATGTGATGAAAACTCTTCCTGTTTAACCACTCTCACTTTCTTTCACTCAATAAAAAACAGCACAAAAGTCTTGTAAAGGGAAGAAAGTCAGCATTTAGAAAAAAAAGTGACAAAACAACTTCTTCTTTTTGATGTGATTGGCAGGATGCGGGCATTATATTGTTACACCCACACAGACAGTAAACAACAGCACTTTCTGACACGCAAACAAACTCAAAACCCACCAATTAAACTTGACTTGAATGCAGCCAGCCATTATTCTGGGCGCGATCCTGTGTTGTTGTTTTCCTAAGCTTAAAAGACAACAGTGTCTGGTGAATGTCAGTCTGCCTGTCTGATCCCCCAGATTCTTCGGACCTGCCCTCACATTTTGCTGAGCTATAGAAACCAAGTACACACAGAGCACACAGAGCTTTGCAGCCTTAATACAGAGAAAGTGGAATTTCACTCCGGACCTAAAACAAACAAGAGCAAATATTTCACACTGTTAAATCAAAACACTGCTGGGTTTTCAGAGGCCAGTCAATAGGCTTATATGGAAATAAACTATCATGAAAGACGCAACATATTTACCAAATTTGGTTTTGAATGCAAGAACTTAAA